CCCAGTTCCGCCAAAAAAAAGAAAAAAAAATTATTCTCACTGACTAACAGGATAGCTGTAATAGAACAGATCCCGAGGTTATAACAGACTATACTCATGCCTTTCGGTGAAACCGTAACCAACTGTCCCAGATACTTCCACATAATATTCCTAAAGCTTAAGAGGAAAAAGGGTCCTTCATTATAAATACCCCTAAAAATATTTTTTCCTCTTCTCTCTTCACAGGTTCGAGCAGCGCTTTCCCATACCTGTGGCCATTCCCACCTTTTTCTACATGCATGATGGCCTTTTCAGGTTTAGAATATGAGATGTCACATGCAACCCTTTCTCTACTCATTCTGAGCAGAGCTGTCGGAAACTGTCAAGGTAACAATTCTCTCTTTAGCTATGAGAATCCAGGTTCTGCAAGCAGTTCCCCACAGCCTGCCTGAAAGCAGTGACACCAAAACTGGTGTTGGCAAGGATTCTGAGTCCCCGGGGAAGCCCTAACAGCGGCCCAGAGGGCGATCCTGGGCTCCGGGGTCTTCGTTTCCCCAAACTAGCTGATTATATTTAACTCATATATTAGGTCTTGCATATGGTTCCAAATAGAAAACAAAACAATGTCTACAAAAATCTGCAAAACCCACTACAAGGAATGACTCTCTCTCCTTCTGGCTGGCTTCTCCCCCTCACCAGGCTGCCTCCAAAATAGAGGTTTCCGCACCTGTGGTCCTTGAAAGGAGCTTGCCCTTAACCCTTGTCCAGAATTTGAAACACAAACAAATGAGACAATTAATTACATTTATTTCTAAAATTAAAAAAATAGTGCCAGTATTCAGGCAGTAAATGCTATCAGAGTTAAGGTTTTCCTCGGGCGTGCTCTAGCTAGCACAGTGTCAGCCTACCCACCTCCAGCTGCGGCATTTCGTCTGGAGCAGGGCTGCCACATACCTGACATGTATCCTGCATGGACCTTTTTCTTACAAGCAAAGAGAAGAATGAGACTGTTTCTCTTCTCTTCCCTCTCTGGACTCTTCCAAAAGAGAAGTTGACATTTGACTGGTATTCTGAAATAATTTTTAAAAATCTGGCATAGCGTCAAAAACATGTCAGCTTTAGTAGTATATGAGTAACAATCAGATGATGCAAATGAATTAGAGTTTTACTGACTAACCTCTCAATTTCTATTGATAAAATAAGTTCTTCAGGGTAGTAAAATGATCATTTTTTTTCTAATTCAAAAGTAAAAAGAAAAATAACAGAATACCAGAGTTGAAATAAATGAACTGCACTCCTACAAGTCTCTTGAGAAATAGTGTCCTAAGCAAACTCCTGACTGACAATAGAGAATAAAGGTAGATTCTAGAAACCAGCAAATCCCATTCATTTCCTTCAGTTTGTAAAAACAAGCAAGTGACAAGCTTCCGGCCAAGGAACAAACTCACAGATAAGAAAGCTCCCTACAGGAAATCCTCTCCTAAGAGACACGTCTTACCACTAAACTTAACCTTCTTTACCGAGCCCTTTTAAGTTAAATATTTGATAAGAAATAATCATGAGGGGCCGGGGAGATGGCTCAGTAGAATAAGCACTTGCCTGGCAAGCGCAAGGGCCTGAGTTCAATCCCCGTTTCCGGAAAAAAAAAAAAAAAAGAAAGAATCGTGAAATAGATACTGAATCACCTGAATGACACTACATTGCTTCTCAGCTCTGTATTTTCTTTGACAGTAAACAAACACTGAAATATATTTAGGACTCTTTCCACCTCCCTGCTCCACCCCCTCCACTAGTTGCAGAGAACAGGGAAATTCGATGCTCTTTAAAAAAGATCAAACTGTTGACCAAATAATTTTTAAATCTGACCACCATCAGTTAAGAGAAAGCAATGCGACGCTACGAGTTAGCATAATTTAAAAGAAGGTATTTCCAAAAGAATTTAACATCTGAAGACTGCTATTGACAAGACTGGAGAAATGTAACAAATGTGTTTGCTTTGTATTCACCTGGCTTAATAAAGATCCTCAAAGTCAAAATTTAGGAGAGGGTTTTCTTGCCCCAATTAGTGAAATAATTGGGGCAGCAAGGAGATCTGGGTGAAGTCTCCAAAGTTTTCTCCTTTTTTAATACTCCTTACCATTACTATTACACTAACATTGTGGAAATATTTGCAGCTTTGGTTTGAGGAACCTATAAATTATTCTAAAATAAAAGCCCTCTTCTCTGCCCACAAATGAAGACTATGTTCTAAATCAACTGAACAATAATATTTGCAATTTGCAAACAATGTTTATTTCTTTTCTTTTTTTCTTTTTTTTTTTTTTTTTTTTTTTGGAACAGGGGATTGAACTCAGGCCCTTGTGCTTGCCAGGGAAGCACTTATTCTACTGAGCCATCTCCCCGGCCCCCAATCTTTATTTATAAGTGTTGGGGTTGTTTTGTTTTGTTTTGTTTTGTTTTTTTCCTTTCCCTGCTCAGAGATGGAGAACACCCTCCTTCATTCTTTCCAAACCACCAGACGGTCTTCATTTTCCCTCCCTGCCCGTGCAGCTTTGGGGCAAGGTCCCAGCTATCACAATTCTTTTAAGTTCAAACGCTTCAGTCCAACTTGGAACCCTCTTGAAAACAGAATCCCCTCACTACACTTTCCCCATAACACTCTTCATCCACAGGTAACAGGAAAGTCTTTAAGGCTGTGAACAGAGTGTTTTTGTTCTAACTGAGGATACACCGATCCTCTGTATATATACTTTGATTTCACAATAAAGTGCTCAACTACATTCTTCTCAGCCTTCCCCCTTGCACAATTCGGAGGCAGCAAAATGCTAAGTAAGCACAAATACTCATCTCGGCTTTCAGGCTTTTTTTTTTTTTCTGAAATATTTTCAATAAAAATACAGTTATGAAATCCAGGAGACTACATTTTTGGTTGTTGTTGTAAAATGACCTTGATTTGACAGGCACAATCTCAGGTTTCAACAGATGTTGTGGGAAAAGCTTAGCAGGAGCCAGCGTGTTCTCCAGGCATCTGTGATGACATGCAAGGCTTTTTTTTTTTTTTTTTTTTTAAGTGGTGGTCATGGCAGTGTATACATGTGTGGTGGGGGTGGGGTGGGGGGGTTACTCAGTTTCCATGACAACCATGTCTCCACTCAAGGGTTATTAGATACCATCCACTTCCTGTGTCTAAATTTTTAAACCAATCAGAAAAGTGTTTATACATTTAACAACTCCTGGGACAGTGCTTCTTTAACGAAGCACTTTTAGGCTCAAATGACAATTCCATGGGCCTTATGTTTTGTCTTGTAGATAAAACGTTTCACAATGTTTGCTAATTCATAGCCTTAAACGATGAGGAATGCCCTTTTTCTATTCTTCTCAAAGCAGATACCAGAATTTCTTATCACAGTGTGCATGCTGATTTTGATAGTTTGTTCTGCATTATCTCATTCTTTCACTGTTGCAAGACTTAGATTTGGTGCCTGAAACAGGTCACGCAAAGGCACTTAAAGTGCCAAAGTAACGACATGGGCAAGCATTCGTCTACTGATATTACCATTCAATTTTTTTAAAAAGCCACTTAGGAAAAATTAATCCTAAATTGAACAACTTTGCATTCTACAATTTATGACTAGAGATCATTGAGACTATTGTGAATTGACACATCTATGAATGTAAGCTAGTCACTGGCATCTGCAAAGAAATGTCACCAAAATGGCCTACTTGATCTGGGTGGAAACAACAACAACAAAATGTAAACATATAGGTATCCTAAGCAAACCGCACAGGGATTAAAAAGCAATCTCGCAGAAAGCCTTGCACAAGAAGGCTCGCCTGAAAGGATGGCTTAGTTTTCTGAGGTTTTGGGTGACAGTTTTCATAAGTCTCAATCGAACTGACCAATCAGGGTGCGAGTTAGAGCGGGCGCCAGACATTCGTGCAGTCTTCGGAGCTCTGCACTCTCTAAGCTGCTGGCCCTCTCCGAGGCAGAGCTGGTGATCAATGAAAAGCAGGGAACAAAAGGAATGTAGCAGGATGTCTTCCCCAGCGCAGGAAAGCGATTCCCTTTTTCCTCAATGAGCAGCCCGCACCGTGCCTACCCGGCTCCGCTTGGGGGCTGCCACCACACCAGCAGTTTCGGAGGAAGCACATTTTGCATTTGCAATCATGTGTCCCAACTGCTACCGAATTCGTCACCTTAAGCACTGCCTACCAACTGAAACTAATAAATTCAATAAATGAATAACCCCGCGATTAAAAGCTCCCTAGAAAGACTGTGTTTCCTTTTCCCGAATGTCATTCCAGAGTATAAACAAAGCATGAAATACAGGCTCTTCAGCCTCCTCAGCCGGTAATCGTGGTTTTTCTCCTCAAAACAATGTTCCTCTAAAAAGAGAAATATTCCTGCTGCCCTCAACGGAAACTCTCATCTGTTTATGTCACATCAGGAGAAGCAGTTACAGTATTTGAAAAGAGGTTTAAACTGCCCATAGATCTGACCCTGTGTATAATGGATTGCAAAACAGTCGCAACAGCAATGCCCAAAACTCTGCCCCCGCCAAACTCCACATTTAACACGTTAGTTCTGGAAAACAGAAGCGCCGCCTGGGAGCCCCACGAAAGTGGGCTTCCCCGAGAAGTAATTAACAGAATTGCATCAATTATTTGGCCATTTTAAAAATAAATATCCATTTGTCTGCAATGTTTAAAAATATATACATAAAAGCAACAAATTTCGGAAGGGACTCTGCAGAGTCCAGAGAAACTTTTTTTTTTTTTTTTAATGAACTTACTTTGGAGCCAAAACTAATGAAAATAAGCAAGTTGCCATCCCTGGGTCTCTACCACTTGGGGCTGCGCGCTATAAATCAATCTGAAACTCGGTGGAAATTCCGGGGGCGGACACCTCCAGAGACGACCCCGGGGAGCCCCAAAGGCGGCGGCCCCCGGCGGGGACGGCTGCCCGTGACGATGCTAAACGCGCGGGGCGCGGGCGCGGAGCCGAGCCCCGATCCCCTTACCTGCGATCCCCGGCCCCCCCGGGGCTCCTCGCGGCCGCATGGGGGCCGCGGCGGCGCTGGACTCGAGGGTGGCCCCGCCGCCGGCTAGCGCGTCCCGGCCGAGCTGCGCCGATCGCGGCCCGAGCCCGGCTC